CCGCCTGCAGACGGCGCAGTGCGTGCTTCAAGCCCACTGACTCGCTTACCGTACTGGACAACCGTCGCCAAGCTCCTGTTACCTGACAAAGATGGCGCACTTATAATTTGTTATTAAAACATAAAAGAGGGTAAAACAAATAGATCGGAACTTCTAATGTGCACATTCTTAAAATAAAACGAAAAACAATTTAACCGTTAATTATTAAATTAGGCAAAAAACTCCAATTGTTAGGAATGATATCGCCAAACCACAATATATTTTTTACATCGAGACAATTTGTTAAGACACAGTTTGTTGAGCACGAAAACAATAAATGCAATGTTTTGCTCAATTTTGAGGTTGGTTGGTTGGCTGTGACGATAGTAAAACTGTACCGTTGATAAAGTACGACTTTCTCGGATTATATGTTTTGAAACAAACTACATACTACTACATGAACAGAATCCTAAATTGACTTTGTTTTATTTTAAAAATAGATAATAAAATTGATCCATCTGATTTAATATGAAGATGTTAGTCTTCAGATATGAGATTTATCATGAATACATAATATGTACTTAATAACATATTTCATAACCATATGAAAAAATGTGTTATGAATATATAAAAATAAAGACGAAAATCGATTGTCTATTTTTCGCTATTCTTTCTTTCGTTTCCTGGACCATTTCGGTGAAAGTTTGTTTTCTTATTATTGCAAAATAGGTTCTCAAAGAAAGTATAACCTAGGAGCTGATCACTATAAACAACCGATACAGTGATCATCATCATCTTCTCCTTATCCTACCCCCGTAGGGTCGGCGCAACAGGTTTTTGTCCTCCACATAACTCTATCATATGTCATCTCAGTCATCCCTCCCTTTTTGATCATGTCACCTTTTACACAATCCATCCATCAAACAACCGATACAGTGATATTGCGCGATAATTATAGTTAGTAATATTTTATCTTAAAGATATTTACGAACGCGTTTAAGTTGGAACCATTTAACGCTTCACTGCGGTTAAATTTGGCATATAAAATTGCGTTATTAAGGGCAACGTATAACGAGACAGTTAAGTTTATTGGCCGGCTCATACAAAATTTTATGAAGACGTCAAGTTGTGATACAACACTTTGATGAGCGATCTTTTGGTCCATTACAAGTTTATTTTTTTATAGAGGTAAAACTATTTTTTTTTTTCACTTTTTTACATATCTTAATTAGGAAAACACCTCACGTGTAATTAATTAAGACATACTTTTGGAATTATTATAGAGGTCGGGTAATATTCTTGTCTTGAATTATCTACATTAAATTATCAATTACATCTATATTTAGTTAGGATTCTTCTGTCTACGTATGACTCGATTTGATTCGCAATGAATATAAACAACACATGTCTGTGTCCAAAGAAAATTAATGATTCATATTGAAATATAGGAAGTCATTTACATAATAATCTGTAATACATTAGCCTATAAAAGTGAGAACATACGATTTCATCCTTTATTAGAATTGCATAGTAAAAACTCCATTAGAGAAAATTTCTGTAATAAGTAGCGTAGGTAATTTTCTCACGTTTTAAATGGACATCGCACAGTTTCAAAACGCAATTTACTGCTTTTATTCCCAGATTGCGTCAGAAAAACACTACGCCTACTTATATTCAGTACAAAACTCATGCTCAATGCTCAATGCGACCTTTTTGCAAATATATTACAACACTCAATTTAAAGATTCAGTTATTTGAATAATGTAGACAATAGTCTGGTTGTTACGATAGTGATGCGTCGGGCTAGCATACCTTTGTTGGTTTGTAAGTGCCTACTTATCTTGCAAAATAATATGTGAAATCAATCGCATTGCGCATTAACTCTTTGGGTTTAGTAAGGCGCACCTTATCACAATTCAAATTTGCAAGTTCAAAAGCCAGATAATTAAAGAATACCGATAAGTTATTATAGTAATTCGAATATTTTTAGTTTAAATTAAATATATGTTTGTCAATACATTGCCCAATTGTTTTATTGTTAAGACGACACATAAAAAGTTTTGTAAGTGGACGTGATTCAATTAGAATTGGGTTAAAGTGTTTTTTTAGAATAATCTCTTAAATCTCAGGGTTACGGAAATACTCCATTTGAATATTAAAACACCACTTACGATGGTAACCAAATTCTAAAGGGTAGAGTTACCGAACTCTGGGTACTTAGTCAAATATTAAAAAGAAGTTGAATCCTAAACCTACTCAAAATTTTAAAGAAAAGAAAAGAACCAACTTTTGGGGACATCATAAAATAATTTTATGGGGAACACATTATTATGACTACATTTTTAAAAAATCTGGATATAACGTGTAGAATGCACACAAGATTATGAGAATTGCTGGAGCAGTGTCTAATTTTTGCTGTTAGATTTGTCAAATTACCTTCATAGAGTTGAGGCTGTTGGCAGCATTTACGACGACGTCCCCAAGCGCTGCGGGCGGCAGTGCGTCACTCCTTAACACCAGCGCGCATGCGCAGACCAATACCGCGCGCCACCAACGTACACGCATATTTACAATCAAAGTCTCTGGACCACAATTATACTTCTAGAATGTTCATAGAATTGGTTTTTCCACACTACGGACGCGTTAAACTGGCCATACTTTCACGACGCGTATATTGTCTTTTATAAGAGTTCAATAATTTTCTTCTGTTCTTGCTTGTCTTATTTTTACCTTAAAAAGAAAATAAAAGTAGTTAGTGAATTAGCAAAATGTAAAATGAATGAGACTCCAAAAAGACTCCAGAGCCTCACAGAAGTTTCACAATTTTTTATCTTCAATCAGAAAAACAAGAGTGACTGTGAGATACTAAATACTTTAGTTTGTTCGCCATATAGTTTCAAGAAAGACTACCTTATTGATATATGAGTTTTCATGTAACTTTGACCAGAAAAGATTGTATTGTGATTTCAACGATAACCTCTGCTGTTCTTAGGTCATGTTGCGTTCTCAATGTTTATTCACAAACTTTCACTTGCACAACTGTAAATTCATTCCATTTTTTTACAACAATGTTTATTTGGTGCGTTTATAACTTTTGTATGTGACTGTTTGTTAAAATGATATTTCTATGAAACCAGAAAAATAGTTAATCATTAAAAAAATTATGTATGCAACAGCCTTTTGGGTATGTTTTACACTTAAAAAGTTGTTGACTTACAAGAGAGCTTACAATAAAAAAATCCGGCATTTTGAAACAGTCACAATTCAAAAACATTCGGTTATTTTTATTAGTGGCGTTCTTTTTAACTGTCGGTGACCTCAACATAAAGTGAACACAATAATTAGGTCTCGTTTCTTTTAACACAATTACTTATACTTAAGAGATAACCCTAGAGTCATAATTATGATCGATCGATGTTACAACACTTAGCTCTTACGGCGATCGAAAATTATCACTTGTAGCTTATACAATCTTTGCAAAAATGTTACTTGATAAATCAACTGTCAACTTTAATTAGACGTACATCATAAAATATACTAGCTCTTGGCTATTTAATGTATAAAAATTCGTCAAGTTAATAAATACATTTAGAATTTGTAAAGAACACCTATAAATATCAAAGTATCAGTGGAGCATTAATTCCTATTTTAGTGTAAAGTTTTATCAGTATTCTCGTAGATGTATCGTGCTACTAAATTTATTAATTTTCGTAATTAAATTATACTTAATAGTAGTTGAAGGTGTGATAACATAATTATGAAGTTTACTGCGTAGACAAATTAGACGGATACAAAAGACTTCAACGCGTCACATTTTAGTTGATAAAAATAAAATAATATTTTTTATATTATTTCGATACATGAAAACATTAAAAAAGGAAGTAAATCAATGAATTTTCTTTGTAATTAAATGATATATGTTTTACACAATCAAAGTAGTGATAAATATATTTTTTGTACGTGTTAAGTAAAATTTTAATTTTCATCAAAAAACTCCGCATATAGAATGTTTACTTATAATTTATAAGATGTTCTAACTAAATAAATTATTTTTTCTTCGAACTAGACAACGTGGGTAATTGTTAACGGTAATAAATTATAAAATTTACTCATATGGCTTACTCTAATAACTTATATCTAATTGACATTCTTCTGAGAATAACGCGTTACTTATGTTTTAAGAGTTAAAACGAGTTTTGATTACATAATCATGAGATAAGGCAGTGACTGTGGAGATTATATAAGAAGTTCAATGCATCCCGCCGCCCGGTAACAATCAATACCAAGTCATTCAAAATATAATAAAGGATACTTTTACTATGATATTTCCGGGTATATTCGCTTTTTTACGACTCTCAAAGTAGAGCAACAACAATTTAATAATTATTTATTCTTAAACGTAGAAATTTTAAGACGCATGATATTCAATTTTAATGTAGCCATAACAATTTAAGACAGTAAGTTCTAGCCTGAGAGACAAAAATTCAGAAATAATTTAAATAAAACACCGAGAAACAGAATTCAAAACTCTACTTGTAAATAACGTGCTAACTTTACAATTTTCTACGAAGTTATAATTCGAGGAGGTTCTACGAAGATCTGCTTGGTGCTTGCTTGCTTGCTGCCCATTATTTGTTTGTTAGCATTTGAACTTGTTCCTAAATAGTTATATTTTTTCTATTTTGAAAACCAAAGGTGCCATGAAGGTATATTAAATTGAATATAGATATTAAAAAAAGACTATGGTAAGAATACGCTTGAATGGATTTATTAAAGTTATTCGCAGATAGTTCATAGTTTAACAACAATTACTTCAAACTTATTAATAAGTGAAAGCTTCTTAATAGTGTTTTATTTAGTGTTTAGACAATTGAAAAAAACATAACTAGATACTAAGTAAAGACATCGTTAAAAAACTATCCGTATTCCAATTTTAAAATAATATCAATACCTTTCAAGAATGCAGTTTACAATCCAGTTACATCATTTGAATGTAAACAAACTTTTTTTTCAATTCGAAATCAAAACAGAATAAACTTGTTATTACGGAGTCCTAAAAACATTAACAACTGTCTTATTTGCTTATTTGGATTAACCACGATCAACACATCAAGCAACTTTGTAATTTTTTATCGCATGACTACGAAATCGTAAGCGCGCGGTTTATACTAACGTCTCTAGATGACTAGTAAGTGACTGCCGGCGTCGGCATCGTCGAGTGGCCCGCAGTAATATTACTCAACACCAGCCACCACCGCGGAACCAGACGGGGCTGTTATTCAATACGCACAACGCATACGAATTAAGAACCGGTGACCCCGTTGCCGTTACGTTACAAGTTCGTCTTGGCACCAACTTGGCATCCCGAATTTAGCAATTCTCCATTATCAAATATCATAAGTGAGTGATATAAACTCATTATTGAAATATACTCGTTAGACATTATTTCAATTAAAAATTTATCATACACATACCACGAAATTAACAAATGATAGATAAAAGTATACACATTACTAGAGCAGTACTAGTGGTAAAATATCCTATCGTTTTTAAATAGCAGAAGCTCAATCCTATACAAAAATATGCGGTTTTATGAATGTGTAGGCGCTACGGGTAGAATTCTAAAATTCGTCGATTGCGCTCTATTAAGATATACCTACGGTACAATATAAAGATTGGAACGCTATAGGGGTTTGTTACATAGTTTGTTTTAGGCTTAGCCGTTGGCTATTAAGTGTGCATTTATTTGCTTAACTGGGCTACTAAGTCGATAGCCTTATCGTAATGTGCGCAAATAATTAGTTCCGTATTTTTCCGCAATATTTCTGGTCAGGCTATAACTTAAAAATTAACTTGATTTAAAAAAAAAAATCTTCGGATGATGGTACTTGAACAATGGATGTGTAATTTTTTTTTTGTTCATCAGTTCAATTCAATTCATTCATTCGTGTGAAGTGAAATGTGCACATTCTCCTTTTTCAACCGACTTCCTCTTCCGCTCCTAACAAAAGCAAATTGAAAAAGAAACAGCTACAGTTAAAAAACAACGATGTTTTTCAACCGTTTTTGTAAATAAATAATAAACCATTTTTTGTGTTCTGGCAACACTGCTTGCACTTATCAAATATTGACATGACGTTATGATTCTATGAAATCTTCATAATTTATTTTCATATCTGGCTCAATAGCTTATCAACCACCTAAAATTTAAGGGTAAAATAGTGACGTGCAATCTTTCTTTACTACTGTTCGTAATAAAGACAAGTAAAAATGGCTACTCCAAATGATTATGTGCCAAGTGCTCCCATTGTTAGTTCTGGGCCAAATGATCTTCCACCACCGTATTCCGCTGTTGTTGGAAATCCACAATATGGTTTTGTGGCACCACCAGCCGAACCGATGGCAGCCGGTGTATATCCCCAGCCAAAACAATTTACAGCCACTGGAGTTTATCCTCATCCGCCGAGCATTAGTGCCCAACCTCAGCCTGGATTAATGGGTGCCGCTCCTTCCGGTGCATCTGTTCCCGTGGGTATAGTGCTCCCGCCCGCAGTGGGGACGGAACCAACAACAATAACTTGCTACAACTGTGGCAAAGTTGTCACAACAAGAGTTACATATACAACAGCCTGGCATACACATTTAGTAGCTGGATCCATATGCGTCACTACGATGTAAGTTTAATCACGTGATGTTGGGTTGGAATACTATCATCACTAATTATTTGTTCAATATAGATGACTTGTTACAGTTCCAAGAGTCTAATGGGAATTAATAACTACTATTATTATGTATATAATATGGTTATTTAAATCTTTTCAGGGTATGTTCATTGTGCTGCTTGGGTCTGATACCTTACTGCTTTGATAACTTCAAGGATGCTGAGCACTACTGCCCCAACTGCAACACTTTTATTGGCAAAAACTCCAAATGCTAATTATGTGTTAGTAATTGAATCATTTGTGGGTAAACCTACAATATATGGTAAACACCTTAAACTTTATAGGAACACTGAATAATGTTTACAGTATTAGATTTAATTTTGCTTTATTCATTATAGGTTTTTAATTCATTTTATGGCATACAATAATGAATTAAAAAATCTAGGCAGATCTTGTTCCTGTTTGATTTATTACTAAAAAAATGTTCTTAATGCAAATGAATTATTTTAAAAAAACACATGACATACCAGTCTAGTGTATATATTTATAAAAGTAAACATAACTTTATACACAAGTATAGAGTGTTCAAGAAACAATGCAACTGGTATTTTGCAATAATGCAATCAGAATCAGTCATTACTTTGTGATGCACATATATTGAACTTTATTGAAAATATAGTTGTAAAGTTGTAACAACATATTATGATAAAAATCTACTCTGTGGAGCCAAATAGTGACACAACAGGCGGATTCTGTAGCATATTTTATGCAATTATAAATTTTCCGTTTTTTGATTCTACAATAGATTCCAAAATCTCAAATACAAAATTACTAATGTGGTTTTAGAACAAGCTATAAAAGGTGTATTTCTCAAAAATTATTATTGGTCTCTAACATCCCATGATCATGAATTCTAAGACTACCATAATTGTGGCTTCAATTTTGATATATTAAATAAAGTATGGAAAATATTCTTGCAGCTGCATTATCAGCTTCAATATTTTTGTAAGAAATGTAATGATCATAAAATGGTGTTTTGTACACTTGCTAGGGATTAGGTTTTTATATTCCCGGTCAAGCTGTACACAAAATGAAATTTGTGCTGGGTTTTTGCTTTGGTGTAAGAATAATATTAAAGACTTGTATATCTGCCAATTTTCAGTAGATTGAATAAAATTTAAGTTATTTATTATGAATAGTTTTTAATATGTATACCTTTGTAATAGATTTAGTTTCAAAAGCATGTACATCTGGAATATTATGTGTGATATTAGTTTATGTGTAACATACAATTAGACAAATACATTCCCTTCATTTATTATGTTTATATTTCTCATTGTGTACCATTTTTCTAATAATCAACGATATATCTTCAGTTCGCAAACACAGGATATTGTCTATAAATGTTAACTTTAAAGTAAAAAATTATTGCACTACACCATTTACTTAATTACCTTTATAATGTTTGGTGCCATTTTATGACATCAATGTATTTAGCAATTTATTATGGAGTGTTTTAATGTGCTAAAATGTCACAGAAGACATTATATTTATGATGCTTTAAAAATCCAGTACCTTTTATACATTACTTTTTTGAATAAATTATATCTACTGAATGTTGGTTTTATTTTTGACTTAAAACAATCTTAAATAAACGTATGATTTATCATCGCGTATTATCTTCATTTGATAAGATAACAGACAAAAGCAACTGATAACTTCAGTTTCATATCAAGTCTGTGTTAAATCAATAGAAACGACTTTTGTGCTTGTTTTTATTGAGAAAAATGAGTAATAATGTGACAAACACAAGTTCGACAGAGGCTTCTAATATAAGACATCATGACCCTCCACCTCCTTATACAGAAATAGCAAGCGTTCCTGTCCAACAAATTGTTATTGTTCCACCTGAATTAAAAGATCAACCAGTATTGTATAATTGTCCTGCTTGCAAAGAGATGTGCTTGACTAGAGTACAGTTTGTGAATACAACAAAAACTCATATGATAGCTGGATTTATTGGTGGTCTAACTTTGTAAGTATTGTGCTTATGTGTCATACTAAATGACTGAGAATAGTTTTTATTGACTTTGAAAAATATAAATAAATGGTATTGCCATAATTCATTTACTTATCTCATCCAAGCCTAATTTGTTTAACTATTTATATAAGGTACCAAATAAGAAGAATGTGTGGAATAAATACATTTTTACTTAAATGAGAAATTGTAATATGTATTGTTATGCTTAAATGTTAAATTTCAAAATATTGGATAATAGTTACTCTAATGCTTTATGTGCTACTGACTCATTCTATGAGTTATTACACTTAAGTATGTAAAATGTGGCATTGAGCAATATGGCTATATTTTGTATGTCTTGTTGGAATTATTTGATAAGGAATATTAAAACATATACTTTTATCTTAAAGTGCCATCTTCTTCCGAAGTTCGGAGATCATATTTATCTTGCCTAATATATCCTACTTTTCAGTTGGTGCATGCTTTGCTGTTTAGCTGCAGTTCCATATATGTTGCCAACATTTAAAAAAGCGGAACACTACTGCTCCAATTGTGACACACATCTTGGTACTTACTCAGTATTGTAATGGTAATTGTTAAGGGTCTTAATTTATTTTTATAATGGTAAGAAAAAATATAATAAATGAATAAAAGAATTGTTTTATTTATTATCTAACATAAAACATTGAAATTCAATAGCTAATAGCACAACTTAATGACATCAACTGTTGTGTGGAACTTGCAGTCTGAAACACTCTGAAACTATTTTCCATTTACCATCCACAGCAACTATGAGGAAAGTCTGTTGAAAATGCTTCCTAGCATTATCATTTTGATATGTCACATCGCCGCAAGCTTGTATGAGGTAAGTTAATTTATTTGCGACTAAACTTTCTGCTATTGGCTGGGCGTCCAAAGTCTTGAGAACATGGGTACTTCCTGGTAGGTCCATAATAAACTTCTGTATTTTTTCACTGCCTGTAATTCCATTTCCATTCCACACTAGCAATCCAGTATCCAGGTACAGTTTTGAAATTAAATGTCGATGGTTATCGAGTTGTTTATAATACACCTTTGTGAATTCTTCTGCTGTTTCACAAGCATTGTCCACTGTTTTAAGACTTATTTCTGTTGTCATTGTTGTAGTAGTTATATCTTAATATCAACAACGTTAACACAATTACATCTGTATTGTACTTCAATTCAAAATAATGTGTAAAGCTGAGAAAATACTTTCAAAACATGAGAGTTAAATATGCAGGACCAGCGTGTATGAACTTGAGATGTCACTGTCACTTTGACGTAAAATGTTGTGTTGCCAGATTAAATATTCAATTTCCAAACGTTTACTCTGAACCATTGACCTCTATAAATCGATAGGCTAAAAACTGTTATTAGGTATTTCCAAACCAATACGACTTAAGGTCCTTCAAGAAGCGAGCCTATCATTTCCTCAAAGGACGCATCTGTAGTACCTCTGGTGTTGCGGATGTCCATGGGCGTCGTTGACCACCTTGGTGTTCACGCCGCTCGTATGCCCCCTTTTATTATAAAAAAAATGTGATATTTTCTGTCTATTTGTCTTTCACCATTTTCTTGCTGTTGTAAAGTGTTTTTCAACTAATAACAGAGATAGGCTTAACTTTGATTAACTTTAGTAAATTATAAAAAGGTTTCAGACTCGAATAATCATCCAAATATATCGTAGGAACGGCTGAAATGAACAATGCGAACTAAATAAAACTATCATAATTATAGAAATTTTTTATTCATAATGTCTTTATCTAATATATGAATCGTCATAAAAACTGGCTTACTTACATACATTTAAGATACGATATCACTATTTCCTAATTCACATTTTCCAGGACATTCGACACAGTGATTCACTATAGTCAATATAATTCTATCAATTATATTACTGTGAAAAAAATATAACATAGTGCTTACTTTAGCATGCTTATGATTTTACAACTAAAGTGAAACAGCTTAATAAATTCAAACTTACCCTAAGGCACTGACAGAAATGATTACATTATAGATACCCAAGCTTTAAATGATATATGTTTTAAATTAATAAATAATTTGCCTAAAATTATTGTAATTAAAAGCGCTAAATTTTAAATTCAGGGCGTTGTATAAAATTATAAAATGAAATTGATATATTTCTAAACTATTTCCAATAAAACTTTTCTATCAATAAAATTAGGGAACATTTTCAGATTTAAACCTAAATAAACAGTCACTGCCATCATTCTTGTAGGTTTTTTACTGCGTTAATTATCCACAATATGACATAATGATCAAAATTTATCTAGAGTTGATTTAAAAATTATAAAATCAATAAATTTATTACCTTTAGTTTATTACCATTTCAAATAATGGTCTTTTAGTAATAACAAAAATTAATTAATTAAAAATAAGTCAGAATTCATTGTCAAAGTTGATCTGATTAACAAATTTTATTAAATTTGTATCAGACAAATACACATAAATAAAATCAAATTAATAGTCCTTTTGAATTTCTTATAACAGACAAATACACATGCCAATAAAATTTAAACGTTTGCACATCAACGAAAATGACAGATTTATTCCACTTATTGCACTATAATGATTTTATCCCAATCATTTTTTTAATGAATATTGATTTGTATTGGGATACATCAAATATCTTTTATCACGAATACAAAATATAAAAGTACAAAGTAAATATTATTTTTATTAGCAATTAGTAAAAAATAAAGGCATTTGAATGAGACATTGAGCAGTGAACGGTTTTGTAAATTGCATCCGATTATCGTTCAACTGGTATCACCAAGCATAACATCAAATATACATTGCAACACTATCACTGGTCTTTATATGGCATAGTAAATTGGACATTTAGGTACACCCTCAATATACTTAGTATGAGAAATGTGGCAGTGGGAGCTCGATATCAAAAAACATTGTTATAAAAGTCTCAACGGACACAAAATATTTTCAACAGAAAACAGATAACATTTTTGCAACCAATTATTAGTCCATTATGTATAACATCGATATATAAATGCATTATCAATGTTAGTTTAGAGGATTCATGCATAGTAAAAAAGGGAAATATCACCCAGAACGCCAGTAGGGCTAAAACTGGTATTATAAAAATGAACTATTCCTACCAACACTGGTGGTACTTTAGTGGTGCAGTGTATATTCAATTTAATGTCTGTTTAATTTGAATGTTCATAGTAAATCACTTATAAAGCTTAATCCAAGGGCAGTGACGTCACGGACGCGGCATCTCGGGCCGGCGAGCGCGGGGCAACGCTTCCTTCACGTATATTTATATTTGTTATATTTCTTCCAATGATACCTGCTGTTAATATAAGCAAAATTATTAATAACAAAAGTAAATAAGAGTTAATCGTTTATTTGAAGAAATATCATCCATAGTTACCTGTGAAGGTCCATTACGTGAATCATGCTTTTCTGTTAAGCTGCTCATTAGTCTTTCCTGGAATTTCAAACCAATGTTAATCTCTGATTTAATTTATTTATTAAAAATAAATAACTAAGTTTTTCTCTAATACGTAGGGGAATAATTTTATTACTAACTAGCTAACTGTATAGCCTATGTTACGACAATTTTTTTAATGTTTTTAATTTTTTTCAATACATACAAAAAGACAAATCGTTCTTCTTTATAACAATAGTATAGATATAGACTAGCTATTGTTCGCGAATTTCAACGGGATAAAAATATTTAGTAATAACATAATTATATTAAGTGAAAATTTAGCTTTATTATAGTAAAAGAATGCTTTTTTATTTTTGAGCTTATTTGTTACACACAAAGACATACATTTTCCTCTTAAAATTACCTCTGTTAGTCTTTCCGCATCAGCAAAACTGTGACTGTGGTTGGGTTTCTGTGCCTGGTTTAATATAACATCCACTTTGTCTGCTTTCTTCTGCACCTGCGAAATATGGACAATATTAAAACATAATTCAATACTTAATTATTTACCATCACCGGTCAAAGTACATACACAATATCTAATGAAACTTACGATGAAACTTGTCTTATTGAAGTATTTGAAAGCACAATTTTGATCAGTATAGTAAACAATAGCATATTTTTCACGTTGTACCAAGGAACCCTAAACCCTACCCATTTCAACACACAATTATGAAAATATGCCAGCTATTGGTGGTTCATACATTTTTATTATGGTATTTTGGTCATAGACAATAAAATTAATTGACGTAACACAAGATTGCACTTAACGGTTGACATTTGTACCTCTTGCATGATGGTAGGCAAGGATTTCTCTATGCAGGAGTATGCAAACGCCAATTCTTCCTAAGTGAAAAATATTATTTAAACAAAACTAACAATAGTTGCTTATTTAATGAACTACTAATGTACTATACTAAAGAGGAAAAATTTGTATTTTTGTATATATTGATATAACTCCAAAACTACTGGGCCGATTTTAAAAATTCTTTCACTATTAAAAAGCTAAGTTATCAGTGAGTTACATAGGCTATATTTTTTATTATATTTTTATTTTACGCGGGCGAAGTCGCGAGCAACAGCTATCAACTAAATGTGTTGAATATTGACATTTATTTGACAGGAAAGTAAAATCGAATAATAAGTGGCACATAAGTATTTTATATTGAGAAAGCTACCCTAAGGAACTTCAATAATTAATGCCGGGTTGCTGAAATTTTATCGTTACCTGATTCATTAGTTTAAAATAAATTGCAAAGGAGTAATACTCAAGTTACGTAGTTATGAACCGCATTTCAAGTATTTATCAAGCCAAAAAGACTAACGAATGGTTAAACTTATCTGGGAAACTGGCTATAAGTGCAGTTATTTTTAATTTTTAGTTAAGTTTTAGTTTGCATTAGTACCTGTGCGGCTATTCTCTGCTGGAGAGTGTCCAGTTCCCGCTGCTTGTCTGCGAGCTGCTGCTGCCACCGCTGCTCCTCCACAGACACGTTCTTTTGCAGCTCACTTAGCGCATACTCCTACACAGGATATTAAAACTTATTGATTTGGGGAAAGATTTGTATTTTTTAATTTTTGTATGTATTGCAATAACTCAAAAACTACTGGGGCGATTTCAAAAAATATTTTACTGTTAAAAAGCTACGTAATCGTTGAGTGACTAAGAAGAAGTCGCGAGAAATAGCTAGCTTAATATTTGTATATATGTATAATTTTTGCGTGATTGTGTCTTTATTAAGATTTAATTTATTTATTAATAAATAAATAACATTATGCAAAAGTGTCGCTAGGGAAAAGTTACTCCCTTCCCATTGTAAAGAATCTTAAAAATGTAGATAAATTAGTAGTTACAATGGTTGTTAAAATTATTGATTCCGAAACTCACCGTATCAGCAATAACTCGCTTATATTTATCCAAAAGGACCTGTAGCTGTTCGTTCTGTGCGATAACTTCTGTCAGTCGGGAGTCATCTTTGGGCGCTTGTACTTCTGTCTTCTTCTCCAACTCGAGCTGTTTTTTCTCCAGCTCCTTCTTCTGTGATTCTATCTTCTGGAATTCGTTCTTCATGCTGTTGGCGAAAGCCTGCAGCCAGTCGCGGTCGCAGCCGGAGCCGGGCCCGATATTGGGTACGGCTGAACGCAATATGCTGGCTACTTCTTTGTATTGTGTTTCCTGGGCCTTGAGTATCGCCTCCTTTAAAACAATAATGTTTATATTATTTTTTTGTGTAAATGGTTGTTTTGATTATGACATAAAAGCTTATTAACACGTAGAAGCTCGCCAGTTGCCATTTAAAAAATGTATTTATATGCGCATGCATCAAGTTGTGCACAGTTTATCTTTGGATTTGCGAGTGCGTTTTTATTTCGTTCTATTACAGGAAAGCATTCTCCACATATAGGTACGTTCTCAACAGGTTTTTACACATTGAAGTAAAATTCTACAATAATACAAGTATCAACAATTAAATTAGGCATATACATTTTGCAAAGCCGGCCAAAAAGTAATCGAAAAAACGAAAGTAGCTGACACATAAAGCAGTATATCTAAGATACTGTGATTTTACATATGTATGGACACCCTAGTCTAATCCTATATGTCACCGATCGATTGTTAACTCTGTCAGCTTTTAATCTTAATAGACGTATAAAAACTAGCAACAAATTATAAAATGTAGTTATTAGTGAGATAATTGATTAACTATTTTTATATAGGATGTCCGGGAACGACAACAATGGACTACCACAGATTACATTGTTTATAGTAAAAGGCTTTTAATAATTAAATAGTGATAAGGCTACAGGTAACATATTTAAATTTAAACTTTAGTGATATATATCAATAGTTTATGATAGTATATTTTTATTTTATTTGTTCGTGAATTATTTTTAACGTTTAAAATTGACTAAACCTAGTTATAGTTATAAAAAATATATAGACTAGTCATAGTGAACAAAATTTTTTTCACCGGTACTTTCTCTGAAAGGTACTATCAGTGTTGGCAAGTTTAGAGCCACCTTGTGACTAAACTAAACAGTGACAGAATCTATCAATAGATAACGATAATGACATTGTGAAAATTGTTTCAAGTGAAGTGTCAAATATGCCTCTTCTGAGCCTAGTGGGATAAGAAACTTCACAATCGAAAGGTAACATAGATTTAGCTGAAAAGCTGTCTACTTGTAGTTGGTAGTGTGTAATGTGAGGCGACACTTACAGCGAGGTGGTGTGGCGGCGGCGCGCGGGCGCATTTCGCCTGGAGGGACTTTTCGGCGGATTGTAACGCCTCCATGACCTTCCAGTTTTTAGTTCGCAACTCCTGAGTGCGTTAAGCCAAAATCAACAAGCAAAACTTTATTATCATTCTATCCAAACAAAAATTATTGTTTATGCATGATTTAAAATTATAGTGATTTTTCTCATTCAAATGTGTGGTTAATTTGATGGTTAAAAATTGTTTTAATGTGATCGAACTTCTATATGATAAGTAACAAAGCCTGTGAGATGCAATCAATAATTATAGAATTATCAATTATTTTTATTACAAAATTAATAGTAAAAAACATTTTTAAGATTTACGTAATATAAAAAATTAAAGTTTTTTTTATATTATAAAGTAACAAATAATGAAGACACCTGAATTCGCTGGAATAGTAAAGTGACCGCTGCCTCTATGAATGTCTACATCTGGAACGACAGATGTATTGCCTACCTTTAATCGACAGAGGAGATACGCACAGAGAAAGAATATTTTTCCTTCCTAATCCATTGCGTAATCCGTCAAATTCCCATTCCCACCTAATCATTAAAAGAGACTATGTGGGGAAGACTAAAATTAGGCCTCCAACACGTAGTGCTTTTTTTATGATTATTTTTTTGTATAGAGTGTTTTATGACGCAAGCAGTATTTCCATGGTATACTCACGTTGTTCTTCTGCTGGTACTGCTGCAGCTGGCTGCGCAGCGAGGCCACCTGTTCCTTGAGGTCTGCGCTGGCGCGCTGCGCCGCACTCAGCTCTTCCTTTAGACCGACCACCACACTTTCCACCTTCGCCAGCTCATTAGCACGCTGGAACAAATTATTGTATGAGTAATGAGCTGTTCAGTTGCGGCTTTAACAGCATGAAATTATAAAAAACTGTATACTATTGTCTACGTTTTCTATTTCAATTGCTAATGTCAAAATTAAAACTCTTGAATGACTTTACGAGTAACCATGGCAACCTTGCTTCACTGCTGCTGGTTTGCAGTATTTGTCCCTTTCCCGCATGACGGTTTTTTTCTAACTTATTTACCCCAAAGTTTTATTAAACAAAAAAATTGTATATTTTCACGCTATTGCGTGAAAATATACAATTTACTTATTTAAACTTTAGTGAGACATTACACTATACAAATTATAACAGTTCTGAAGAAAATATCGATGCCTACACCGAAGGTTGTCCAATGAGTTTAGCCGTGGTATAATTTATATTGGAAATATATAGCCTAAAACGTGCCTTAGTGCGGGTAAGTGTAATTTATTAAAAAAATTATTATTCAAAAACTATACTGTGATTGTTGACAATCTATATAACTAAGTAGTGTGTTTATGCTTTATTACATTAATAGATTTCGCCTACGACTCAATCCGTGTAGATTTTTTTTCTAAAAGTAAGTTAATCATGTGTTCTTCCAGACAATCCTCTACATCAAAGCTAAATTTCATCGAAATCTGCTCAGCAGTTTGGATTGCAAACTCTAACATCCATCCATCTAAACATTCACATGTACATCAGTATCTTACTGATCTAAACCTCTATCTAGAGGTCACCCCTTACTTGCCTTAGCCCTAAGTGGGGACGTTTAATGAGATATATATTAAAACTTTAAAACTTTTAGTGTTTGTTTACCTTCTGGTCGTCATTAGAGTTGGGCAGTCCGTTGTGTGCGGGATGCGCCGCCAGCTGCTTCACCTCGGCCAGCTCAGACTCCCGCAACCGCAACTGTTCCATCAGAGACGCAGCCTCGCTTGATATCTACAATATAGTCATTTTTATTAATTCATGTTTTTTTTTGCCCTTAAAGACCTCTTAGCCAAAATCGGTGAAAGAAGTGCTGTTATCGTGATTAATTCTTTCAGAAAATATGTAAATCTTCTTAGGAATAGAGAATAGGCAATATGCATATGACGCCAAATTGTACCAAACTTTTTTAAGTATACTTTTTTACTATAAAAACAGTCCTGCAAATATTTTTTTAAATATAATGTGATTTAGTGGCAAAATTTAATCATTAAGAAGTGTCTTTTTTCAAATTCCCTCGCTAAGTTCTAAAACGCACACTATTGGTCGAAGCAAGTGGCTTAACTAATATGGCGTCGCTGTGTTGTCAATACACATTTCATTTACGTTAGTTTAAATAGATGTACACTCTTGAAGTATTATACTGTAAACACGATATCGAAACCAACTTTAAAATAAACATATAATGAATAGAATTATTAATTACCACTTATTTGTACTAGGAATAATAAAAATGAATAGATTTTTGACTTTTTGACCTTGAGAAGCAATGAGATACTTTGTTGTTTTAAACATCGAAGTGACATCTGAGCGTATGTTATGAATGGAATATGACGATTGACGTCAATTGTCTCATGACAAATCCGGCGCGTTTTAGTCGCTCGAAAATGGTCGTAATTTTATTTTTTTTTAGCTCAATGGTTGAATATTTTCGCGTCAATTTTTTTTTTGTGGTTATTCTATAACAAGTAGAATCGTTTAAAAAAAGAAAAAAAATACATGCATATTCCCTATTACATGACAGATATAGTCCATAATTTTGTTACATATTATTGACATCGACAAGGCGTAGTGGAAGCATAAATCGCAGGCGGGAGTGAATTTAGAGGGAGGGGGGACGCATAAGTAGGATAAATATCCTATTTTGTCCACTCCTCTAAAATTAAAGGCAGCGGTCACTTCGCTATTTTGGCGAATTTCAGTGGACACTTTTTAGTTTGTCACCAATTTATTAAAAACAGAATTATGATATGTTATAACTTATCTACACGTTACAAAATAGTAATATTGTTACAACTTACTTTTGATTTTTGTTGTTCCGATTCCTGTCTAACATTTTCATATTGTTGTTTTAATTTCTCTATTTCCTCTCGCAGTTTATTTGCTTCTTCCGTAACTTTCTTGGCCTCTTCCTTAGCTTTTTCTGCTTCTTTCTTAAATGTGTCTGCATCTTCTTTAGCTTTATCTACGCTTGCTTTCGCTTTCTCCGCATCTTCTTTAGCTTTCTCGATATCCGATTTAAGGTTTTCTACATTTCCTTCTG